AGCAATCAGCGCGAATGCATGTATTCTTGGGGCAGAACGTGCTTAGCTGGCTTGGGATTAAGTGAATTCGATGCCCCTCCGACCTCTTGGAAGGACAATGAGTTCAGTGCTGAAGAGAAGGAAGCAGTTCAGCCTTTTCTCGAGTCTGATCAAGTACGCCTTCACGAAGATTACGGCTACTACTGTAAGATCAAGGATTTTGCAATCAAAATAGTAAAATCAATGAACATGCCAACCAGCGCTGACGACCAAAACGGCCAAGGATACCATTTTGGTGTGGCCCCAAAATCTCACGGCACCTACTCTCGCAGTAACTCTCGCGTGTATTTCGGCGTAGCCAAATTCAGTCACTGGGATATGCGTTTATACGAGCATAAACACGAAATCGAAAGGTTTGTGTGCTTGTTAATTTTGATTTAATAGTCTAACTTTCTCTTTTTAGTGCAAATTCGTCCAGTACAGAAAAAGGAGGTGACACCAACATCAAGTATAACTATTTCACAGAAGAAGTTGCTAAGGGAAACGACATCTATCATTCTCCATTTCTGAGGTGCATCCCGCGAATGTCGCTTAGTTGTCTGTTCTTTGTAGAGTTCCTCTTTATCTCCTACCTGAAGCAGTTTCCGTGGTGTAAGAATATTCAAAAAGGAAACACTAGTCGTTTTGATTCTACTCTGGGCGCTTCCATTCCGCCACACATCGCAAGACTCCTTGGATGCGCACTTTTTTTGTACACTTTCGAACGTGATCTGATACCAGAAACAGACTTGCTTGTTCCAGGCAAGAAAATGTAAACATTATCTTTTTGTTATTTCAAATTAACCCAAAATTTTTTCAATAAACACTCTAATGTCGCTTCAATTTGCCATTTGCCTTAATAGGTCGGCGCCCTTCTCGCCGATCATGACTGAAGCAGCGTGAGTATTGGCATTGGCCAGTTCAGGAATGACCGAGGAGTCGATGACTCGCAGCTGGTTGATGCCCCTAACTCGAAGCTGTGGATCGACGACGGTGTCAGTTCGGTCTGCGGAGCCCATGCGACAGGCGCCCCCAGGGTGGAGGGCACTGTCGGCCACCTGGCGAATGATACAGCGCACGTAGCTGTCACACTTCCACAGTGGCACATCGGCGCAGAATGAACAGCCCGGAATGGGCCGCGGGAAGATGGTGGCGTAGTTAGGGAAGTCTCCCGTCATCGTCATGTAGAAGAGCATCTTGGTCATGTTCACGAGCGCCTCCATGTCACGCTGATCACTGAGGTACTGCGGGTCGATGAGTGGCGCTGCGGTGGGATCGGTAGAGGCCAGTCGAATGGTGCCTCGACTGTAAGTGCGGTAAACGGCAGAGGTGATCAGTAAGTACTGCTTTCCGAGGTAGGGCCGCCAAAAGTCAGCCCACTGTGACTGGTACTGCGGTCCGTAACCGGCTAAGATTGTGCTTTCATTTTGTGCGACATTGTACGTGTTGGTGTCGATGACCGCATTAGGCCAGTTGGGATCATCATTGCCGCTGGTGCTGAAAAAGGTAATAGAATTGGGCAGCTCTGTCAGGCGGCCTGTGTTTTGCACGTAAAAGCTGTAGAACTGCTGCACAGTCGGACCAATGGCCTCATTGATCAAGGAGGTGTTCTTCACCTCGTAGTAATGATGTATGAAAACGTGGTCTTGGAAGTTGTTGCCCACCGGCAGGTCAGCCACAACTGGAATGCCAAAGGACTGCAGGTGGTCACGAGGCCCAATGCCCGACAGTAGCAAAAGTTGTGGTGAAGCGATGCAACCGGCAGAAACAATGACTTCTCTGCTGGCTCTTACTGTATTAGTGACGCCATTTCGCCTAAACTCCACACCAGTTGCTGTTGGGTTTCCGCCGCCCATTGCATTGCTGAAGAGAATCCTAGTCACCAGAGAGTTGCCCATTATGTGCAAGTTATTGGGATATGGATTTGGATCAATATAGGCGTTTCCAGTGCCGGATCGAATGCCGTTCTTCACCGTTAACTCGTAGATCATTGTTCCTAGTTGGTTGGCTCCATTTATGTCTAGCGTGGGAATACCAAATGAGTTCATCTGCTTTTGAAATACAAACAAAATTGGATCGGGCACAGGCATCGGAGAGACACCCATAGGACCAGAGGTGCCGTGATAGCCATAATTTTGAGAAACGATCTTCGGTGAGGTGTTATTTTCAGAGCGAATAAAGTAAGGCAAAACAGAGTTGTAGTCCCAGCCTGTGGCGCCGTACGTCCTCGCCCAGTTATCATAGCTTCTACGGTTTCCTCGATTGTAAAGCATCCACTAAAAAAATATTATTACTACATTTGCATGAGTATACAACAAACAAAACTGACATTTATTGACGATGTTCCTCCAATAACTTTTCCTGAAAAGATTTTAAAATTCGTTAAAATTTTTGCTTAGTTTATCTTTAAAATATAGTTATGTTAGTGATTAAAATACCTTTAGGTTGATGAATGCGTGCGTTCGGAAAACCTTGTCCTATATTTGCCTGTGGAACAGTAGAGTACTGCCAATCGACTTCAGTGTTGATTAAAGCAGGGGTCAAAGCTGGTGCATCGGTGATTGATGTCTGAGGACCGCCTGCTTCCAGTAGGAGGACACGCAGGTTGGGATTGGCCGCCAGTCGATTGGCCACAACTGCCCCTGCACTTCCTGTTTCAAATTACATTCAGTTAGTTTTCACATCATCGGAAACAAATATTGCCTGTCTAACCTGAGCCAATGACAATGTAGTCATATGAAGGGTCAAAAGTTGTTCGATTTACATTTTGGTTGTGTGCGATTTGTCTCTGCAGCGATATTATCGAAATGGTGAGCAGTTGTGTGGACAAACTGACTGTGGTTGACATGATGAGGTGATGTGCTGCCCCAACTTGGTTTTCAAACAAATAGCCCTCATTTTAAACCAGTATTTATACATCAGTTCCATGCTAAGTTTAGTTTGCACTAAACTTAGCCCGCATAAACTTTTAAATGCTGCCACCATGGCCTGCAATCTTTGAGCACTGACCGATAATGAACTGTCACCTTTTGGAGAATTGTAACACTGTTCTCTATTTTTTAATGCTCCACGCATACATGCATGTCATTTTAAGTTTATAGTTTTGAAATCCTTTTGAGTATTTTTCTTCCAGTCATAATAATTTTCCTGTGCACAGAAAACTTTTCTAACATTTTTCAGAACTGAACATAAGCAACCCTAAATCTTTACAACTAACATAAACAGTTTAATGATGTAAAAAGAAGCATTCAACTGTCGATTGAATGACTAACATAAACTGTCCCCTTCGTGCTTTTTAGTTTGTCGTTAAAAACATCTAAACCACATGAGCTTCAATGAAAGAAAGTAAAGAGTGAGTTATTGGAGAACCAAAAAAAGTAGTGGTTAGCCTTGTATCTTGATGACAGGATCGGTCTTTCACAGATGTCTTTAGTAAATACTTTTATTGCAGTAATCTGTCGTTTAATTGTCCTAACCTCAGTACTGTTTTTATTTTAGCTAAATTTTTCAGCCATGAAACCTAAAAACATAACTCTTATCCTTTTATCAATTATTATTTGTCTTCTCCTAATTATATTATCTTTTGAGCAAAGCAATGAACTTTTTCCAAAACTGAGACAGCAAAATGTTGCTGAACCTGCTGAAAAATGTACCGACACAACTAGTAGATGTGCAAGCCAGAAAGATTTTACAATAATTAGCATGAGTAAGAGTAAACAACAACTTAGAGGAAAAATTATTCACGAACAAGGCGTCAAGTTGGCACAGTTTCTCGCTGTACCCTATGCAGAGAATCATGTGGTATGTACAGTTTTGTAAATAAAATTCAGAAATAATAAACAATCATTTTCTTGATCAAAGCGCTTTCGCAAAGCTACACCTCCACGAGCTTGGAGCGGTGTTCGAGATGCCACCTTTTGGCCGCCACTGTGCATGCAGAACAAACTTGAGCAGTACGAATACTTGACTTCCTCACTCAACTCCTCACTCAGCGAGCACTGCCTCTACCTAAACATCTGGTCGCCTCATCGTGATCTGTTTCGACACGCAAATAGAGCCAACCAAATACAATCCGCCGATTCTCTTTTACCCGTTATACTGTTTATTCCCGGAGGAGGATTCAACTACATGGGAAGCTCTTACAAGGCATTTTACGGCGGTGTGGTTGCAGCACTTGGCAAGGTCGTCATTGTCACAATCTCCTACCGCCTAGGTGTTTTTGGCTTTTTAAGGCAACCTTCAAGCAGCTTTCATCATTCAAACATAGGACTACTCGATCAAATTGCCGCAATTGAATACGTCAATACGCATATTCACTCTTTTGGCGGTAAGGGAGTTCTTTGCTCAATCATTGTCGCAGCAATTAGTGTACTGTAGTACTGTACAAGTACCCTGCGCTAATTACTAGAAAAATAGTGTAATGTAATACTGATTGTAATACTGTATGTCTCTAAAAGCTACATTGCAATTTAGCAGACATCAAAGGAGAAAATCATTGAAAAAATAACTTTTTTTGTAGTACACACTATAGAGTACTAAACTCTGATTGTCATCCTTTTCCCGTATTGTACAACACAGGTAATGCGGCAAGCATCACCCTACAAGGCCAATCTGCTGGTGCCATTTCCATTGGTTTGCTGATGTTGTCGCCACTCAGCAATCGACTGTTTCAGCGCGTTATCCTCCAGAGTGCTAGTCCGATGATGCCTAAGCAACTGTTTGAAGGGCAACACTACGATCGATTAATGGACATTACAAACTGCACTCAGTTTGCATTAGAAAGTGAAATCGAGTTTAATGAAGGTGACAACGAAGAAAAGCGAAGTGGTGAATCCGGAAACAGCTCTACTTACTTAAATGATCTGGAGATTCAGTGTTTGGAAAACATGCCAGCTACAGTTTTGAATAATATTCAAGCCGCAATGGTTGAAGAGAACGCTTTTAGCTTTGGTCCTGCTATTCCTAGTCCACTTTTTCCTGATTTTCCTTTGGAGTTTTTAAAACAAGTTTCAAAAATATCAAAGAAAAGCATTCTTTTAGGTGCAAACCAAAATGAAGGCAAGTAAAAAGAATATTTTCTAGAAAATAACACAAAATATAATTTATAAACAGCTTCCCTATACATGCATCAAGTTTTTCCAGACATATTCCCATTGATTTCCAATCTTAATCTAAGTGTACCTCACATTGAACTAACCATCAAACGATTAGTTAACGGAAATCCTATTTCTGAACGGCAGTTTTCTCGTATTCTGTTTGATCTCTTTGCTCAGAAGAACATTACTACTAACGAACAAATGCTAAAACAGTTTTTAGTGTTTTTAAGTGACTTTACTTTTAAAGGTTAGGATAACTCTCTTTCAAATTACTTTGGTTTAAAATATTATTTTTATATTTTTTAAGGACCTGTACTAAAGTTTGCCAAAACCTGGTCAGAAACCTCTAACAGCGACCAAGTGTTTCTTTACTTGTTTAATCAAAGCGAATCACATTACCCATCTTGGGTTGGTTCATCTCATTGGATAGAAATGGACTTTGTTTTTGGAATTCCACTACAAGAAAAAGAACGGTTTTCCAAAGAAGAACAAGAGCTTAGCTCTCGAATGATTCAAACTTGGACACATTTTGCTAAAACTGGGTAAGCTTCAAAATGCTTTCTTTAATTAAATCAATAGCTAAATTATGTCTATTTAATTTAGTGAAATGATGTCTCAACTTGGTCTTGGCTGGCCTAGTTTCTCCCCAGCCACTGGGACGCACATGGTTTTACAGTCATCCACAGCATCACTTGGCTCTAATCTTGATATGGAGTACTATTCCCTGTTTGAACTATTGTACGAAACGTCTTAACCTTTTTTATGTACATAAAATTACTTTTGCAATCAACATTGCTGAAAAAATTTTACACAATGAAAAAAAGTACTACAACTGTATTAGAATGTAAATTGTAATTATCGGCTTTCAAATGTTGCCAGCTAGAACTAAGTCATAATGACCCACTAATCACTAATCAGTAATGCACATTTCACTACCACATAATGAAGTGTGAGCAAGTCTGTCCTTTGACATTGACTGGAGATTTGTTGTCACCTGTTCAGGTACGCGTACTGCTGCTAATCATCCCAATGAAAGGCACCTTTGCTCGATTGGCAGATGGCAGAGCTACTAATTGATAGACTTTTTCCATGAGTTGGCAATACCTAACCAGGCGTTGAAATACAATTAACATTGGCATAGTTCATCATTACTACATTTATAAGGCGGAAGTGAAATCTGTCATAATTTTAGGACACAAGACAAAATAAGGCTTTTTCAATCCACTTACAACTAGTTTACTTAAAAACTTCAAACGGTAAAAAAAGTATACATTTTAGTTTGCTAAATTGGTAAAAGTGCACTTGGTGCACAGAGTCTAGATCAGGTAATCGATGACTGAGATTCCAGCAGTGTCAATTGTGCGGCAATGACATTCTCAAATGCTGTCTCAATTTGCATGTCACCGTGTCAGCCCTCTGTGTACCACCGTCATATTCAGTGTCAATTACTTAGCTAGCTTTCAATGGCTGACTACTGCTGTTTATCACATCGTCGCACTGAATTTTTGCCGATGTCATCACAATGCAGTTGTTTCGATTCTCTCTTTCTTTTCTAAGCCATTTCTTTGTCAACAAAAATTAAAAGGGGTATAAATTGATTAACACAAATGAATTGGCTGAAAATGATGTTTTCGGTAAAACTCATATACGTTTTTCATTGTTGTAATTGACATCACTGAAAGTGTGATAATTCGATTTTCCTAAACAACTGAACAAAAATCATTTATCTGTGTAAATGTGCATTATTTTAAATGCAATTTTGAAATTATTTTACTGACCAAGTTACCTTAACATTTAACTCCTCAACGCCTGCAATAATGCCTAAAAACAAAAAGGTAAAAAGTGGTTGAACCGAAAGTGCAAACAACGTAACAGTAGCAAATACAATTTATCTCTTGTAACAGCACAAAAGCAGCGATCTCAATGCAAACCTTTCCAAGCCAAACTCGACTACAAATGGACAAAAAAGTAAGACTAAAAAGAAACCGCAGAAGCGGGACATTGAGAGTCTCAAGTCGGAACTGGAAATGGACGAGCATCGCATCTCATTATCCGAACTGTGCAATAGGTTACAAACTAATCTTGAAAATGTAAATATTATCCCGTCACTATGCTATGTCCTAAAGTTACCATCTTTCAATTACTTTTCCAAAAGGGTCTCAATCCAACATTGGCCAAGCAGATCCTCCTTCGAGACGGGCCGAATGCAATCACGCCTCCTAAAACGACGCCTGAGTGGGTCCGCTTTCTACAGAACTTGTTCGGTTGGTTCAATATGCTACTGTGGATTGGTGCCGTTCTATGCTACGGCTGTTACATCGTCGAGTACCTCACTCTAGAATATGTCAAGCCTGATAATGTAAGGCATTGAAGGGGCTTGGCCAAAAAGATGTAATGCCAAAACATTTATTTTCCAACTGTAGCTCTACCTTGGCACTGCCCTAGCTCTAGTCGTATCCATATCGGGAATATTTTCCTACTACCAGGAATCAAAGAGTGAAAACATTATGAACTCGTTCAAGAATCTAATTCCCAAAACTTGTACCGTCGTCCGAGCAGGACAAAAACTTACCAGTCCAGTTGAAGAGCTTGTTGTCGGTGATCTGGTAGAGATCAAGGGAGGTGATCAAGTGCCAGCTGATATACGAATCATTAGTTCTCATGGGCTCAAGGTGGACAACTCTTCGCTGACAGGCGAATCGGAGCCGCAAAGTCGTATTCCGGCTTGCACTAATCCAAACCCACTTGAAACAAAGAACTTGGCCTTCTTTTCAACAAACTGCGTTGAAGGTAAGCAAATTGAAATAGTGTGATTGCATTGGCCAAATACTTATTTTTTGTTTTGAAAAAATAGGTGCAGGCAAAGGCATTGTGATTCGAGTAGGCGACAATACTTCGATGGGCCGAATCGCCATTCTAGCTTCTGGTCTTGAATCAAATCCGACACCACTTTCACAGGACATTCATCACTTTATCAGCATCATCACATATGTTTCGGTGTTCTTCGGCGTTGCTTTCGGAGGTAAACACTGTCAACAACAAACGTTAAACGAATGTGTTGAACATGTAAACATCTTCTTCAACAGTGAGCGCGTATTTTCTGGTCGGTTTTGGCTTTCTCAACTCCTGCATTCTGGTCATCAGTCTAATTGTTGCCCAAGTTCCGGAAGGCCTTCTGCCCACTATGACTGTTGTTCTGACACTAACAGCCAAGGTAAACAGAACCTTTTATACACAGCGCTCAATGCTGATTGAATTGCCTTCTTGCAGCGTATGGCCAACAAAAACTGCTTAGTGAAGAACCTTGAAGCAGTAGAAACATTGGGATCGACTTCAACTATCTGCACAGACAAAACGGGCACGTTGACGCAGAACAAAATGACCGTTTCGCATTTGTGGTACAATCAAAACATTGTGGATGCGGATAACCTGATTTCTCGCAGCGACAATCAAAAAGTGGATACGGACTCTGTTTCATTCAAGTCCCTGATACGAGTTTGCGCTGTCTGCAGTAAAGCTGAGTTCACACAAGGCCAGGAAAACATTCCCACACTGAAAAAGTATGAAGTTTAACCCTTGAAACCAGCTTGATTTAATCTGATGTTTTCCGCAGGGAAGCCATTGGTGATGCTTCGGAGATTGCCATTCTCAGGTTCACAGAAATCATGATTGGTTCAGTTGCTGCCTACCGCCAACGAATGCCCAAAGTGTTCGAGGTTCCTTTTAATTCAGTGAACAAATACAGCCTGACCATAAACGAGTCAAAGCCTGACTCTGGTCATTGGCTGTGCATGAAAGGCGCACCTGAGAGAATCCTCGAACGCTGCTCAACAACACTTGTCAATGGCAAAGAGATGCCTCTTGATGACAAGCTTAAAGCACAGTTCCAGGAGGCGTACGAAGAACTTGGAGGAATGGGTGAACGCGTCATTGGCTTGTGTGACAAGTTTTTAAAGAAGGACCAATTTCCATTTGACTACCCCTTCAATGCTGACGAGGAGAACTTTCCGACTAAAGATCTTCGATTTTTGGGCATCATTTCGATGATTGACCCTCCTCGCCCGAGTGTACCTGATGCAGTGGCCAAGTGTCGCTCGGCAGGCATCAAGGTCATCATGGTCACCGGTGATCACCCAATCACTGCGTCAGCAATTGCTCGAGCTGTTGGAATCATCTCAGAGCAGAATGAGACACCACAAGAAGTCGCAAAAAGACTGAACATTTCCATTTCTGACGTTGATCACAGGTATGTGCTACTTCATTTTTCTCTCTTGCAGTGCAAAATAAATTTACATTTTGTTTGTAGCATGTCTAAAGCGATTGTGATAAATGGAAACGAGCTAAAGGAGTACACCGATGAAGATTTAGATTCAGTGCTAAAAAATTTCGACGAGATTGTATTTGCACGCACTTCCCCACAGCAGAAGCTTATCATTGTTACTGGCTGCCAACGTGCTGGTAAATATTGTTTGTTTGTTTGGTTTAATGTTGAAATTGACAAAGCACTTTCATTTCAGGTGCAATTGTGGCTGTGACAGGAGATGGTGTAAACGACTCGCCAGCGCTGAAGAAGGCTGATATTGGCATTGCAATGGGCATCACAGGCTCGGACGTGAGCAAACAAGCGGCAGATATGATTCTCCTTGATGACAACTTTGCCTCTATTGAAACGGGCGTCGAGGAAGGTCGTGTCATCTTTGATAATCTCAAAAAGTCAATTTGCTATACACTGTCGTCAAAAGTTCCTGAAATGAGCCCTTACGTATAAACTTGTTTTAGCCGTTATCTCATTTTATTCATTTTAGCATTTAATTCTTGTAGGTATTGTACTTTTTCCTGGACATTCCACTTGCTCTTGGTCCAATTTACATTCGTAAGTTTCCCAACTGGTCTACTGCCTTACAATTTCCACTAACAACTATTAATTTTAGTTTGCATTGACTTTGGAACTGACTTGATTCCTGCCATTAGTTTGGCATACGAGCACGCCGAATCAGATATTATGAAGCGAAAACCGAGAAATCCCAAAGTTGATCGCCTAGTGACAGACAAGTAAGTGATGTTAAGCCGATTATGAATAGTTGAAAACTTCGATTTTGTTGTTTTTTTCTTTAAACAGACTAATATCACTATCTTACGGACAGCTGGGCATGATTGAAGCATTTGCTGCCTTCTTCACCTATCTCGTAATCATGAGTGAAAATGGCTTTTTCCCTATGCGATTGCTTTGGATAAGACGCGAGTGGGACTCTAAAGCAGTGCCTGACGTGGAGGACTCATTCGGACAAGAATGGACGTATGCCCAGCGAAAGAAGCTGGAGTATACCACCAACACTGCTTTTTTTGCCTCTGTAGTTCTCACTAAATTTGCAGCTCTGTTGGTGTGCAAAACGAGAAAGCTGTCACTCTTCCAGCAGGGCATGAAGTAAGTTCAAGGCTCATTCATTGAGGCAGATTTTTAATTTTTTTATTTATAGAAACAATGTGCTCACCTTTTCAATGGTTTTCGAGCTTGGTTTGGTTCTCTTTCTCTCGTACACGCCTGGATTGGACAAAGGACTCAATATGCAGCCACTCAAGTATGAAGAACTTAATTTTTAATTTTATTTTATTACTGAACTAACAATATTTTGATTTGCGTTGCAGAGTTTTTTGGTGGTTCACTTCGATTCCTTTCATGCTCTGGATGCTCATTCACTGCGAAATACAAAAGTTCGCCATTCGCCGAAACAAAGGAGGCTGGGCGGAGAAGGAGTTTTACTACTAACCGACATCGTTATGCAAAACATGCTTCCATCAGTTGTATATATTTAGAATTAAAAATCAACTTTTTAGAAATGTTAGTTTTTATTGGTAATGAGAATAATGTTTATGTATTAATAAATAGTAAAGACAAAATAAATACAATCAATGGCTGATGAGACGAGTTAAGGGTGAAATTAGAGTTGAAGTGAGCAGAGGGAAGGCACACACAACCACAGACTATTATTTTGGTTCAGTGTGCCCTAGTTGGGCGCAAGTTGTACTTAGAGGCTGTTTTAGAGTGAAGCATCTCCCTTCCGTTGCAGTGGCTCTCGGTCAGAGGAGCGCGTCTTCGGTGGGCGCTTTCGCTTGAAGAAACCTAGCTTCCACAGTGCCAGCGCCAGAGCGGCGAGAATGAGCAAACCGACGAGAATGGCGGCGAGGATGAGCCACCAGGGAATGGGCTCACCGCGATCCATTCCGGTCAGGTAGACCCGTGTGGCAATAGTGCGCACTTCGGGCTGAAGTAGTCGACGACTGACATCATATGGCAGTGCTGTCACCATGGCGATCAACTTTGAGGAGATCTGAAATTCATCCAGTTCTACTAGGTGAATGTTTTCCTTCCAGAAGCGAGAGCGAATGGTGAAGCTGACTGATTCATTCGTTTCGAGGTCTTGAATGCCGCACTCGATGCGCGTACAATTGGTGGAGCCACACGACTAAAGAGGGAGAGACAAAGTGTCAGTCGAGTATTTTCTGCATCCTCATTTGCTACCTACCCTGGTCAGTTGAAGATACTGTGAGTTCAGTTCAGTGTCCTCAGTCAGAGCAGCTGATGGGCCTCGAAGTTGAGCTCTGTTGATGGCACGTGTTGGTCGATTCAGGTGGTATGAAGATGACTTGCGAGTCTGTGACATTCCCAAGTTATTAGCATTTGGAAGTATTTGCATAAAGAAGAACTCACCTTTAGTCTCAAAGGATTTAAATCGTCAAGGGTGATAGTTCTGCAGAAACCTTTGTTAGGTTTGCCATGAACTATCACTTGGTCGACCAGGTACAACAGAAAGTTCCCTCTCAAGTCTCTTGTAGGCCATAAGATGGTTATTTCCGCCTTGCTTATGGTAGTTGGGCCTTTATTTTGTACAGTGTAAAGGTGACTGATCTCCTTTCCAATGTCTTCCAGGGTTTGAGGTGCACTAAACTGCGCGCTACTTTCCAGTGTGGTGTAGTTGTAGGAGATAACTTCTGGCTCTGAAACGCCAAAAGTGCCCAGTTCTACTTCAACGCGAAGTGGAATGCCAATTTCATATTGATTATTGCCCAGTGTGCCTTCATCCTCAGAATTGGCACTCGTCACGTTCATCAGGAAGACATAGTTGGGCGTGGTGGCTGAATTCACTTTGGCAGGCTCCATGATTACCACAAGATCGACCTGAGAAAGTAGAAAGTAGGTAAACATTTTAATGGCTATTTTTGTCTTTGTTTTGTACCCTTTTGTTTGCTTTGAGTGGATTTCCAATGTCACAGACAAGATCATTTGCTCCAGTTATCTCGGGTTTAGCGCCATGGCAAACAATCTCAGGCTGTTGGAAGATAAAAATTGCGTTATTGATTTTGTTTTTTGCACTATTTTATCTCACATTGTGTGCCGATTTATTAGTTCGGATATACTGAACATCATAAGGCATTCGCATGTAGAACATCGTTTCGTAAGAGTCCTCTCCACGATTTTTCACTGTGATTGACATTTCCAACTTCTTTCGGCTGCCCACAACATACTCATCGACATTTCTAAGCAAATATCATTAGACCAACAATATTTTAGGCAAACTTAAGAACACTTACAGTCTGGCAGTCAGTTCCAGGTCTGGTTTGCAAATGTTGTCTCGACCACAGTTTTTGCGAATGCCCAGTTGTTTGCTCAAAAAACTGGGTTTCACCTTGTTGAGCACTGGCATCAGTTGCGAACTGATCTCCCCCGTGCTCATATCAAATCGAGGACCGTCATGAGGCAGCCAGTACTCAAGTGTGATATTCACCGGTGTTAGTTTGTCTCTCACTGATCCCTGTAAGAAAATGTAGCCTGTTAGGTTCTTTAAAAGCCGCCAAGTTGTTATGCTTACAATGAGGTAGGCCGGTCTATCTTTGCACCAGTTTTGTCCTTTGCTCAGTGTGATGGTCAGCTCCTCTTCATTTTCGCGTTCCTTGTGAACGAAAAATAGACGCGGTGATGAAGATGTACTGGCGTCTAGAATAGTACGGTAGTGGAAATCTGTGTGAGGGTACATTGAAAAAGGTTAGATTTATTGGCTAAAAATAATAGTCAAGTTAACACTTACTGAGCCGATTGTCAACACCGATGCCATCATAGGCAAGGCACACTTTAACCGTAACACAGTAAGCTCTACTGTTATCACTTAGTGTGCAATCACGATCTTCCAAGTTAATACTGTCCTTTGAGGTACTCAGAACGGCGGTCACATTGACAACTGGTCGTGCCCGAAGCATTACAACGCGATCCGATGAATAGGCGCCCACCAGTAGATCATTGTAGTTGTTCTCGTCCATGTCCAGTCCACCGGAGAGACTCCAGCCAAAGGTGAGAATATTGTCGTCTCGTACATCCTCCGCATAGATGATCTGAGAATAGTCGAGGATGAGACCGGCTTTGGAGCCGAGCAGCACATAGACCGCTCCTCTTGATCGGGGCCCATCGTAGGGGGCACCCACGGCAATGTCGTCAAAGCCATCCTTGTTAGTATCACCCAGTGTGGCAACTGATAGACCAAAACGACCTCGACTGGTTTTACCACTGACATGTCCGCTTTTTGCATTTATCTTGAACTGATGCTAAAGAAGAAAAACAAACAAACGCAAATGTTATCTTTTGAAATCTTATAACATTATTGTGAACTCGTTTACACTTACATCACGTGTTTGCAGTGCAACATACACTCGTCCTTTTTCGTAACTCGAGTCCTTTTCAACTGGCGATGAGTACAGTGGCGCGCCAATGATGATATCATCGAAACTGTGTGCAATAAGTTGAATGAAACACTCGAATGCTGTTTATGCGGAAAAAAGTGAAACAGTAGAAGACTCACCCATCTCCGTTGACGTCGGCAGTGGCCAAGGAGTAGCCAAAGTATTCGCCCATTTGCTGCCCAGTAATGTTGGCCACATTTCCCAGAGCTGCAGTAAAGATGACCACCTTTCCGGTGTAGTTGCTTCCCTTTGGCATGCCAACTGCTACATCGTAGTCGGCTGAAGAGGAGAAGTGTCCCACAGTGACCGAGTACCCTGAATGAAGTGAATATTGGTGTCAATTCGTAGCTTGAAAAGTGACCCTTTGTCTAAACTTTACCCAGAAAGCTGTCATCATCTTGGGAAGGCGCCTTGTTGGTCGCCACTGAGGTCATCTGTTCTAGATCGTGCGAGAAAGTCTGCCCTTGCCAGTACCAGCTTCCTGGAGCTCCAACGAAAAGCTGCTTTCCGTCCTTGCTCACCGCGGCACTCATGCCTGCCTGACAGGAGCCCTGTCGGTGGTAGCCCCAGTTGCCGTTTCGGCATGGCGAGTACTGAAAGAAGCCAGTGAATGACCCTCTGGACACCCAACACGTGCCGATTGGGTCTCGTCGGTTGAGACTGGTGGTGAAGTAGACAAAGCGCGGCGCACAGGCCACGATCGGCCCTTCTGCGGTGCTGTGAAGAGTGGCGCCAAACCACTGGTGTGATTTTTCATCCTCTACGTAGTCCTTTCCTTTGATCTTAATCTCCGAAGGGCCAGTGCGGTCGAATGCAATCTGCTGACAGGAGTTGACTGAGTCCACCGAGCATCGGTACACTGCACCACCACGGTCCACATGAGGTTGATCGGTGTTTGCTGTTGGTGCACCCACCAATAACCTAGACAAGCACACATGTTACTTGGTGACTCTGTCAATTGAGGAAACGGCCTATGTGTTTGCTGCTATTTGACATTAATCAGTCAAGTGATGGATGGATTAATTGGTTAATTGATACTTGTCATTTCTTGCCTGCCTGCTAACTGGTGCTTTTCAATTAATACAAATTATATTGAATCTAACAAAAAATGTTGGTAACTTTTATAATTAATTTCTAATTTTAGCTGCGCAATTGTTTTTGTAAATAAATAAACGAAAAAATGTTTTCATGCAAGAGAAAAACACCTTTATTAGCTTCCGTCTGTCACGGTAACCTGCTTTTCGGCAGACGCTGTTTTGGCAATCACAATTCCTCTTGTAGAGAATTTGTTTTTGTTTCATACTCTAAAAGGCTATTTTGTCTGATGTCTCTGTCTATTTGAAGAAAAAAGTGGAGCGCTCTCCGCAAACTTTGCTTCTAATTTGAGACCTCATCGCGCGGCAGTGAGCATTATGAATTGCTAAGCGCCCCTTCTCCTGAATCGGCCTTATGAACCGCCGAGCACTGTCTCGACTCACTTCTCCCACTTTGTGATTGGCTTTTTCTGCATCATGTATTTCTTAGCTAGCTTGAAACTTATTCCTAGGCTGATCTACTTGCAATTGTCGCCGTCTGTACTCTTGGTGTGCGTAGGTGCTGGCACCCCGGCACTGTCATCACCCACCACCACCACAACTTATAGGCAATCTGGTGATGCACTTTTGGTAGCACTCCAACTGGCTGTCTTTTCCTGCAAACCGGCGTTTGTCACTGTGCCAACAGTGCCTACACCAACTTCTTGAACAGACGATGCTTGCAGAGTGCTCAGTGTCACCAGAACAGTAGAGCCTTTTCCTCATTTCAAAAGATCATCTTTTTGTTCAGTTTGTTGCATCAAACTTCTTCCTGTGTACCTTGTATCCTCATTCAATAAATCAAGTTACTAGAGTAGACAGCGACACTGACAAGGACCTAGATTGCCACCGCTGCATATTTTTTAGTTTAGTACTTGGCACACTAAGAAACGTCATGTTGTGAGGACGAGAATCAATGGTGACACACAGTCATTCGAGAGGTATTGCCCCAGAATGATCAGTTCAGTTGCAAATTGATGGCAAATGTGCTTGCACAGGCAGTGCACAAAGTTACCATGAACTCAAACACGCACTTGCTAATGTCCCATGCCTTGGTTTGCTCATTTACTAGTTCGGTGTCAAATATCGCCAGCCATATATCTCCAGACTGTCTTTTCTAAGAAAATGTGTTTATCTTACAGCTCAGCTCATTTTAAGATCATCAGACTAGCCGCTGGCTACTGCTTAGAGGGTACCACTGAACACACACACATGCAGAGAAAAAGGGAAAAGGCAAGAGAGGGAATGACTGCCCAGGCACATCTGGACAACATGTGTCGGCGCGCACTGTGCACTGGTTCTCGTTTGTATGCACAGAATGTGCTTCGAATGAAACATTGACTAGAGGGGAACTGACAATGTCTGTGCTGTCCGTTCATGAACTGGCCACGGCTGAAGAGTACCATTGGGATCAGCTCTAATTGACACTGACTGCTCATCAGTTCAGTGCAGGCTAATGCAAGTGCATTTCTGGTGTCGACATTTTGGTGAACGCCGCTAATTTGTTCTACTTTATCACAATTTCAAATTATTAAGAGCACATTTGTCTAAACGTAGTTTGAGAAAAAACATTTATAATGAGTTTTATTAATTGACCAAACTGATAGACTGCTTTTTAGACTAAAGCATAATTGTTGTGTATCAACGCTGTCGCTTTCTGATTAGATATCTCACTGTTGAAGCATTTTTGTTTTCTATTCAATGACAACATTTTTCTTGTAAATATCAGAAGCTGATTTATGAGTGACACTAGTGATAGCATGTTCACTTACCAGCTCACATTGCGGTCTTTGTGAAGAGATACTGAAAAACCAAAGTTGGTGTTGGGTGGGCCTCGTTGAACGAGTGCTGTTAAAGGGTCCAAATTAAAACTGTTTGTCGATGGTGCTTGTAAAAGGAAGAGTAAAGTGCAAAGGACACCAATGAAAAAACAAAAATAAACGGACTCAAACGTCCTCCAAATCCGTAAAATAGTCATGCTGAATAACTGGCACTGGGGATGAGCAAATGAGCAAAATGAAGAAGCATTTAAAACAGTGTAAAAGGGCAGAAAAATGTTGGTCCGATGAGACAAAACTGTTGAAAAAAGTTGCTTGACTAAGCTAGAGCGTTTGGAACGCAAGCTGACTCGTCAGCATCCGGTTAGGTATGCTGGTGCAAACGATCACTGGTGCACTGTGCACGATTTCACAAAGCCGTTGCAAGTGAAGGCAACATAGTCTTCGCAGATATTCTCATTCGCGGATGAAACACTCTGCTCTCCTCTGCGGCCGAATCACCTCGTTGTGCTGAACAAAATGCGCTAAGCCATTGAGAGGTTAGCGTTGAGGCTGCCACTGCCGGTGCCGCTGTCGGGTTTTAGTGAAGTGCTGTGGTGAAATCTAAATTAAGAATGGCGCCAGAAGAGAGAATCGACGTGTTGCTGGCACAGAATCGGGAGTAGGATGTGTTGGGTGGCGGGTAGTGGCTGCCACTGATGCTGCCAGTGGCGCTGGTGCTGGAGCTGGTGCAGCCAGAAGAAAGCAGTGTCGGCGGAGGTCTGCAAAGGCAGTGACCGATTTGGTGAGTCTCTGAAATGCTTACTGATGGGCATCGATTAGTCGTTCACTGGTGGTGGTACTGACTGCTGTCACTGTCAGTGCTTCCAGTGCAATGCATATCACTTTGCATGTCTGCGATTATTTGCCGACTGGTCGTCTTTGCGATCGATTGGCCACATGCTCTGCCAGACTGCCTCAATCTTCTTTCTTACTCTCTCTTAGTCTCTTTCATCCTTTCGGGTAACGGCAACAGTCGTCGTAACATTTCTTCGACCATCTCCGTCTGTTCGTCTTCTCTTGCCATGCGCTGGCCACTACTCACCGAAGAAGAAGGAGGAGGCTCAGCGGAACAGTTGGCCACTGTTTGCCTGCAGTTGAGCAACACGGCAAGCAGAAGTCTTTTTTTAAGAAAATAACATGTGAACAGTTAAGCCGGCTTTTTCAAACAGCTATTGCATAGTCAACTTCTAATGATGATTCACAATTCAATCATTATTTTGCAATAATGAAAATTCTGTCAAGAACACCTTTTATGGTAAAAAATAGAGAATTTTGTTAATCGACATTTTACCAATTTCCCTACTGTTTAATATGTTTTTGAGTCCATTATCTGTTGCTGACTAGAGCGAAAAAGGCTGTTTTCCTCCCATTTTAGCTAAAAAAATTACTAAAAAGGAAGCCCATCGTTTACAGTACCATCCTTTCAGTGAATCAGCTTGTTGAGATAAAGTAGTCAGAGTGCAGATAATAGGAGATAGTATACAATGTGCGGTAGTGTGCGGTTATGCCATACTAATTGGTCACGTCGTATTCGCCACTGCACCTGTGCGCCTGTTTCATGCTGACCCGCAATGGCGGCACTCTTTCACTGCTGCTGCTGCTGCCTACTGGAACACCTGTCCTTCGCTAAATATAGCCAATCGATGGCAATGATGCGTTTGTGAGTGCTGTGTGTGTGCTTGTTTGTGCCATCTTTACAGTTCCGCAGAACCAAATGAAAGGAACAGGAGAGTATCTCTATGTACTCTCTGGTCAAACTCGTGCGACAAACTTGTGCGAAGAGCAAACAAAGGAGCAATGGACAAACAAACGAAACTGCCGTCGCACCAAACATGGCAAGTGAAAGTGAGTTTGTGGTCTGGGTATGACAACTATTTATTGTTTATTTTGTGGCGCCAATGTGAGCAGTGCTGCAGGAAGGAAAGGGACACACATTCATTGTCAACTTGGCCGCGCCTGCACAGTCCAAGCTGGCACCATTTTCAGTAGGCGTGTGTTTGTACGTGCGATTAGTGGTGATAACAGATTGAAAAATGCCACTGTGGTGCACTATGGTGAGCTTATGACACCCTTCCCACGTTGCAGTGTTGTGTCCATCATCCTTACTGTCAGTCATCGATTGATTGCAGGCAGTGACTGTCAGTCGTCAGCTAGCTTCTTCTTTTCGATTTCGAGCCATTTCCGCCAGTCTCCTTTGTTGGCCTTGTTCGTCCTCTTCGTTTCACTTGTTCGTGCCGAATTGCCTGTTGCAGTAGGACTCGTTCACATGGATACTTAATCTTACACTGCCCACCGTGACTTCGCCCGTACTTAGCAGATTTTTTTAATCGCTTTTTTATTTTAGTCGAAATAAATTCATTATGTAGAAGGTGAGCTAGTATTCTGTTGGAATGAGTAGATAGTATAAATAAACAAATTTATAAACAATCTATACTCACATCGAAGTGACTGCTCTCTCCAGTTTGGATGCATTGGCATTGTGTATGTCTGAGAATTCACAGGACAACTGCTCCAGACATCGATCAGAAGGAAGGAAAAGTCCATCGCATTCGAGAAAGCTGGCCACCGCACTGGTAGCTAACTTCTCATCAGGCTTTACTTTGTGCAAATATTCCAAAAGAATCTACACAAACGTACAATTAAATTAGAGTTTTAGTAATTAATCAAGCACCTAGTTTTTAGCTTGCCTTTGCCTCCTCTAGCTTCTTATCAGGTACATTGGGAGCTGTCCAATTTGGTTCGGGTCGAGTGAGTGTTCCATTGAATGGCACACCTACCCAGTCACTACTGCTGCCATTCACTGCCTGTCGTTTTCTTCTTCGACCAGCCACTGTTGTTGCGGTGATGGGGATGACAACTGGAGTTAGCAGGTAGGAAAGCACTGGTGTCAACATTAAAGGCAGTGAAGCAAGGAGAAGGCCTTTCGCTGTGATTCCCTTCAGTAGAGCCACTGGTGCCATGGTTGAAAATCAATTAGATTAATTGAGGAATTGTAGGGTCAAATCAATTCAGGTTAAATACCTTTTTTCAACTTGGCGAGAATGATTGAAGTAGCTGACGGCTCCTCGTGGTATGAACTTTCATAGGGCACATAGGAAACTCGATGAGGCCGTTCGTGCATCATCGGCGACTCAACGCTGTCATACTCAATGTTGGATGGTGCCTTGCTATACCGAGTATTACCTCCTCCACCGGCACCTCCACCGGCGGCAGCTGCAGCGCTGTCCTCACCATTCTGACCATAGTAGTATTGTCCTCGAAACTCAATCACTTCAGGTTTGTGTATGTAACCGTAGACTGCACTTTCCTTTGAGTTTCAGAAATTTCAGTGTCAGAATTAAGTTTTGTTTTGGTTATTAACTATACACGATTTTACCTTTCTCATTTCATAGTCGTCCTCGGTGCCTTCGCCATCCAGATCAGTCTCTTCTCCTCCTTGATCGTCATTTTCTTCATCGCTTGACGCTTCTTCGTAGACAATGTTTGGACGCTTTCGTCGTACAGACACCGTTGATGCAGACATTTTAGGAACAGACTTTACTTTGATCTTTTTCTTTGGTTTCTTTTTAGTTATAGAGTAAGCAGCGACAGGAATAAAAAGTGATGAACTTTTGGGACGATTTAACTGCTGATGTTGGTGTTGGTGCTGTTGATGATGGGTATGATGATACGAATAAGGTTTCCTCATAGGTAATTGACTTTGGATAGAGTTGGTTCGAGATTCAAGAACAGGCTCAGAGTTGCTTTCATTAGCACTGTCCTGATAGGGCTCTACATGAGTCGTATAGGAAGGCTCGGGAGCGTCAATCCTGTGATTGACAATGTTGGGATCAGTGTTGTTGTAGTCTTCAAAGCAAATCTCACTGCTTGGTCTTGAGGAAGGTCTTGCAGGCATTAGACAAACGGACGCTATTGGGGGGTGAATGTTCACCCAAAGCAGGAAAAGCAAGGGCCACAGCGCGGCCATAGCAAGCCACTTTCAGTAAGTTGACTCCTGACGTTGTTGATGCAATGATGATACGACGCTGGTGTTTGATGTCAGACAACTGAATGAGTTCCAGTGAAGAGTCAGGAAGGAAATGAGGAAGCGACAGTTCAGCGAGTCACAGCCTGAATCACTTACCCAATTGTTAGTGCCAATAGCTTACTTGGCTACACGGCTCGCTAGCCATGCGATGCTTGTTCCCTCTCTGCTGAGTTGCCCGCTTGACCTCACCTTCTTTTGCACTTATCATCTCCACCCTGATTCTCACCTCCACCTTATTGACCACTCAATTACCAAGTGCTTGCAAGTTAATCGTAAACTTTTATTTGACATTTGAAGTTATTAAAAAAATTGATTAACTAATTATTTTATCATTTTTAATGTTTTTTAAATTTTGTATTGCAATTCAACAAAAATATCTGAAACAAGGTAAAAAATTAGCCGCATTGTATTGTAATGTTGAGTATTTTGGTTTCACTTGACTGAACGCTTTTTGCCACACTAAGTAGTCATATTTTGTAGTTCACAAAGCCTCCAGAGAGTGTCTTCAAAATGCAGCCACCTCTCAATCTAGTGATAACTTGTTAACTGCATTGTTTATTAAATTTAGGTTTATGCCGAACAAGCAGTGGCATACATATTTTAGCGCCCAGTAGTGCACCTTTGTACAGCTCAATTGTGCGGTGCATTTCCCAATGTTCTCAAGTTGCCCTTTATGGCATGTCAGTTTTGGGACAAGGAAATTCGCGGTCGCAGACGGGAATGAAGGATGCCTCGTAAGGCGAACTGCCCAGTGGCACTGTTTTTGAGACAGTGTGATCGTAGCCGAAGAGTGCTGCTCGTTGCAGACGTCGCTTGAAGTTGCTGTCAATGTGAGTGTTGCGCAAAAGTGAGTAGATTATTCTGCAGCGCAAAAAAGAAACAGTTATTACTAATGAACAAATCACAACAAAGGTAATTCACACTTACAGAGCAGCGACGTCTCTCTCTAGTGGTCGAAGTCGGCCATTCTCCATGTCAGCGTAATGGCAGGCTAACCGCTCAAGACAGTGATTTCCCGAAGAAAACATACCACGACAAGCTAAATAACTAGCAATGATCTGGTCATTGTGGTCAGGCCGTCCCGACTGGCGCAGATACTGCTGAACTATGTCAAGCTGAAACAGTTCGGATATTGGGTTCTAGAAAAAGGTAGTACAGGTAAATTCTACCCATGTATGCAAATAATTTCTTACCGAAGATTTCTTATCATTAGATTCGTTTACTTCGTCAAAGAGGGGCAACTCTTTTGCGAATGAAGATCCATTAGAGTGGCCCGACTGATTTAGGTGCGTCTCAAACGGATTGAATTGTTGCGAGGAAGTGTTGCCCAGAAGCAGTGAATCTGCCTCAGTGTGACTGCCCACTTGGTGATTCAGGGGAAGCAATGAGAAGCTTCTGCTGGTGCTGCTGCTATTGTTGTTGTTGTGATTGGTTAGTCCAGTGAGCTGACTGAGGACATGATCGTGCTGTTCAGTCAGGTCACGCCGTCGCCGTCGACCGAGACCAGTGAGCCTAAGTGAGTTAGTGCAATTCAATTAGAGTATTATACTGTGTGCAGACAGAGACTGAATACGCACGAGAGCATGGTGGTGAATGAGCTGACAGCCAGACTGCCCAACAGCGGAATGGCAGCCAGGGGAGCGAGAATGGCCAGCAGATCGGGTATGCTCGACTCGTGCTTGCGACGCACTCCCGGCGGTACTACGTGCAGGAGAAAGTGAGTGTTCGGACGGGAGGTCTGTATGGGCAGTGTGTGCTGGTAGTACGGCGATTTGCTGTAGTACGTCGACTGGGGCGTGTAGGGCACCACCAGCTGATGGGGACTCAGCTCAATGTGACTCTCAGGAGATAGCTCATGCGTCTCTTCGATGACCACCTCAGAGTGCTTCGATGGCGGGTATAGGTTTGCTAAGGATCACAGTGAAATAAGGATTTTCATTCAGTCGTGAAGAACACTGTTGTTGTGAAAAACATACCCGACTCAAATGTTGTAACCGTCTTCGGCTCTGCAGTATGCTCAATCTCGATAATTTTAGCATCAACCAACGGCTCGGCGGTACCAGCTTGCCCAGTGGTTTTTGCCTTGTAAGCGGTAGAAGGGGAGGGAAATGAAGCAAAAAGAGCCAAAGTGGCCACGGAGAAGAGCAACACTCGGTGGTGCATCGTCTGGCTGGTGGTGTGGACTGCTAAAAGACGTAGCATTTCGAGTGAGTGTGCCAGTGCGAATGTCGCCACCACAGTCGACGTCGAGGGACAGAGATGGAGGCGAGAGAGTGTGTCCCGTTTGAATCTGCTGACCACATCAGACTGGTAAGACAATGCCATCTCACCAGGTAAAACAATGGCCAGTGTGGCAGTCCAGCCCAGATTAGACTTGTTTGCTGGCTTGACAGATTCGGATTTGTGTGTTTGCTGCTGCAGACAAAGGCAACCTGCTAATGAGATTGTGACGAATGGAGGACAGTAGTGACAGCGGTGCTGCTCCAGTCACTGGTCACTGCAGAATCGGTGTCTCCCTGCGCCGAAACGAGGTCAGCAGTGGCATCACTGCTGCAGTGTACGAGTCAACGAACCACAAAATGCCCCAATGCACTGTCAGTGACAGTTAAAATATTCCGGTTGGGCTTTATTTAAATTGGCATTTCTATTTCACTGATAACATTCAGGGAGTTGGAAAACGGGGAAATTGGGCACTGCGTAACATTGGACAGGGAAGGAAATGGGTAATAGCGATTTTGATCATTTCAGGATATAAATTAATGGAATTGGGGAGGAAGGGATCAAAGTAATAAAGGACTTTGGTGCTAATAAGGGACAATTTATCACAACTGGGGTATAAAAGTAAAAGAGCTGAAAATAAAATCACGAAGGGAGAAAATGTGACCTAAAATGGTGATGATGGAGGTGGTGGTGGTGGTGTGACTGGCTGGGTAGTGAGAGGAATAGGACAGTGGGCACTTGGGAAAAGGGGAAAGAGGAGATGAAGGTATGACTATATGAGTTGACTAGATTGCTGCGTCTCAGCAAAGAAAAGCAGTTTAGCTGCTTTCCATTAAAGTTTTGGAGCGTTTGAAGGGCTTGCTCGCACGGCGGCGCCCAATTCGTGATGGCTTCTCCTTCTTTTCTTTGTCAGCCGTCTCCTTCGATGGCGACGAGCCATTGGTGGCGCTTGTGCCGGAGCCTGATGAGTTGGCCGCCGCAGCCGCCTCAACTCTTTCTGCCCAGAAGTTGGCGGTGTGTCGCAGGTGAATGAGGTCAGAGCCAGCCAGGTTGAATGCGTGAGGCAGTGTCATTCGCCGGAATCGGTTTGGACTCTCTACCTTTCGAATGTCCACGCTGCTTGGGTCAGCCTACAAGACAGCAATTGAAAGATTAATGAAATTGTTTACCAGTACTTGCCCGAAAGCGTACCTGAAATGCGAGAGCATTCATGATGATGTGGTCAGGCACCACTCCCAACGGATGTACCTCTCTCATGAGAACGGAAGCAGGTATCTTGTAGAACTCGATGCACTCCAGAAAGTTGGCCATGACGTCACGCAAGTCAACAGTGCCGCAGAGGGCGTCACAGGAGCGCTGAGACCAGTGCATCGCCGCCTGGAACTTGGTCAGCTCATCGGCTTTCAGCTCTTCGCGCGAGAGAATCAGTCGAACCACATGCTCCGGAAGCAGGGCAAACGAGCCCAGCGAGAGAACTTCATTTCCGTGCTTGTCTACAAACTCCAGCACTCGCTGCACCAGAGACTTCGTGCACTTGTACTGAATGTACCTCTCTGCTGACGCCAAAATAGAGTTGACCGTGTCCACGGTGATGCAGCAGGTGACGAAACCAATGCACGAGCGTCTCAGCTCTTCCAGACCATAGTAGTCAGCCGCATTCAGCAGTCCTATGTGTGCTTGTCCAGTGAGTTTCTAAATTACCCTTTGGTGGGGATGCACTTACCTAGCAGAGTCCTCGCCTGCAGCGTCACACAGCCAGTGTGGATGTACTCGATTAGCTGGCGAAAGACGTCCGGCTCGAACTCCTCGATGATCATCGTCTGGTGAGTTTGCACCGTCGGTTGTTGCTGATTGAAGGGCAGTCCATTGAGAATAGGCTCGGAACTGCGCTTCAGAAAAAGTTTCAGCTTTGTGTCACCGGCACGGGACTCTTTACGCTTCGAGGACTTCTTCGGTGGCTCCTCAGGCGGAGGAGCGGTGTTCAGCTGCTGCTGCTTCTGCCCGTAGAGCAGCTTGTGGAAGACTCTGCTGCGAGAGGCAAGCACTGCCTTCACCGCACACACTGGCTCACGTGTCTCCCCTACCAGAAAGGTAATGTCGCACAGTCTGCAAGATAGGTGATGGTAAGTGGGACGAAAAGTGGGCCACTTCAAAGGCAATTCTAACGCGCAGTAAAACTTACTCTGGCATAGAGGCAAGGAACTTCATGTCCTCGGCGAGTCCGGTCCGATTTTCGTACACCGAGTAGTCGACAATGTCTTCGGCCTTGTCAATGTCAAAGTCTAGATCAAAATCGAAAACGCCTATATCGCCTTGTTGTGCAGTGCTTTGTTTGCGTGTTTTGCCAGTACCTGCCCCGATGGCGTCTTTGCCGTCTTTGAAGACCACGTCTTTTGCTTTCTGTCCCAGCTGAAGGCTCGAGGGTGGCTGGAACTTTCGACGCTCTTCAATCTCCTTTGCATGGATCACCAGCTCAGGATCTTCGCCTTCAATGTCTTCCACCTCCTCCTCTTCCTCTTCCTCCTCTTCCTCCTCGACCACAGTCTCCTCGATGGTGACCGAGGAAACTGGCAAACCTAACTCTTCTTCACTTTCCTCTTCGATCTCCACGTCTATTTCGGTGAACGTAATAGTTCGGTGTTCGTTGCTCATTCTGCGGCCCTTCAAAAAGTAACAGCTCTAGGTCAGTTTGCTGCCATTTACATTCAGTTAATTACTACACTTAATTTTAACTGGCTTTGTTAATGCAAAAATCACTGGCGCCTCGGTGAGCACCTTTGGCACCACACCTGTCGTCTGGTGGTGGTTCAGGTGTTGCCTATATAATAGACACTGCTGTGCCGCCACATCCTCTGATGAAGTTGCCACTGGTGACATCGGCTAGGCAAACACTGCACTGGTCTCGGGCACTGGCCAAGGAGGCACACAAAGCTTCCACACACTGAAGGCCAAGCCCAAATCTTGCAGTGCTGTTGCCGGCGAAGCACTGTACGGAGGTACTGCAAAAGCAGACTGGCACTGGGACCACTGCTCTGTCCCACCGACACTGACACACATTCATTTGAGAGAGCAATCACGTTAGGGACACCTTGGCCTCTAACTGCCACCACTACGCTCCAGTGGTACCCATTAACTGTGGCTGCTATTTGCTCTACGCGGGGCGCCATTGGCACGCGCCACTCTCTATATAGACATTCCCTCCTCCATCAGACAGATGAGAATGTGCAACTCACAGAGAGCTTATGTTGGTACTGCTTTGCCTCACTGACTTTTATCGGAATTTACAAGTTCCAGTTTGGAATGTGCCACCAGAGTGTACAGCCTGCCACTAGCAGTACGGAGACTATCAATCGAATAATAAGTGTGTGTGTTTTCAATGGAAAGCAAATTGATACTCAAACGTTGATTTCTTGCACCTAACAGAATTGTCATGGTATAAGTTAACTAATTCACAAACTGTCAATTGGAATGTTGCACTTGTTTGCTATCAATGGGAATGTGTGATTTAACCGACTATCCATTCCGTAACTCATTCATTCACTCTTTTCAAAGATAATAGTATCTCTAAACTAAGTTTCCAAAAACATTTATTTAATTCAATTTGTGGTCTTCTTTGGTATGCAAAGTAGCACTTCTTGCACCAGCAAACCTGGGTGAACATTCCACAAGACAACTACAGAACAGTCTGTCTATTGAACCGTTCGATAGGCATTCCAGACAATGCATTCCTAATCACGAGTATCTTTTGTTTTGTAAAAAGAAACTGAAACGGAAATGAACTTACTGACAAAGATGAGGTTCGCTGGAGAGAAAAGAGAGCCCGCGAAGAGTTCCAAATGTGGTTCAAGCCAAGGCGCAGAGAGGATTGAAGGTAGGTGAGGTTGTGCTGGGCCAGCTCGATCAGCTGCTGCCTTGATCCTCGTTGCTGGCGATGAGTGAACAAGTGAACAAGTTCGGTGAGATGAGTTTGCTCTGTGCTAATGTTGATGCACCATCAGTGCGCCATCATCACACTTGCCGACACCGCATTCTCTGGCCGCTCTCGCTGATGATCAGCAGTGCACTGGATTGTGGCCCACTTGGTGCTCGCTCAACACGGCGCCACACTCTCCTCCCTACCAGACGTGCAGGCCCAGACTGCACACAGATACACACACTTCCCACCACTAGTACCAATTGGAAAATATCCCAAACATCCCAAGCATCTCTCTTGAGGGCTCCTTCTCTTCCACGGCGGTCTTGGAGCTGACACTGACAGCTGCAGCTGCTGCTTCAGAACCCAACCGGTCTCTGTCGACTAATTTATATAGCAGCTCTCCAGCAGCTCCCGCCAAACCAACTTCATTCCACGACAAGCAGCATTCTCTTCTCTTCTGTCTCAGTGTTGCGCCTGTGGAGCCACGTCTTCGCTGTCATCTCAGCGGCCATATGGCCTCGGGCTATTCAACGCAACATGCCATTTCAAATTCCATTGACATTCTGATGTGATACTGTGCGTTTAGTTCAACTTGTACAGCTGATTTTTGGTTGAAAATGTACATTTTTTATTTTTTTTCTTGTACAGTAACGCCATCTGTCAAAAGCAGCTCAAAAACGTGCGGCGCACGTGGTAAACAATCTTATTTTTTCAACTTTGTGTTCAAATTGTTTACATCAAGATTCCATCATGAACAAAAGAAAATCCAGCTCAGGTACTCCCAATCGACGAGCAGCAGGTGTTGCCAAGCCTGCCAACCCGAATCTGCCAACTATCAAGTTAAGTTATCTGGCGGTTCGAATAATGCGCAAGTTTAAAGATCAGTTTGTCTATCTGAGCAATTGTGCATCTTTAAGAAAACTACTAATTAATCAAGTGATTGAACCTAGAGATAAAGAATTTAAAGTTTTAATAAGCGATGAGGATAGTTGCAGTTTGGTGATTGTTTCATTAAAAGCCGATGAAGAGCAAGTAACAACTGAAACTCTTGATATGAGCAGCCTTTCCCTGTCTGATGATACACCTGCTAAAATCTCCAGGTTTGAATGTTTGAATGTTTGCCTTTTTAGTTACTAATTTTAATTTTATTTTCAGTGATAAAGCTGATAATTTTGTGTATGCTGTCACCGATAAGACGAAAATAATCTTTTCACAAATTGAAAGCGACAAGCTTAAGTCTGATCAGCCTCTAAATGGATATAGCGCTCAAATGAATCTTCTGAAGAAGCTGATTGTCAACAGGCATTGCTCCTCTTTGCCTCGGACCATTCTTTTGACCGGTCCTTCCGGCGTTGGAAAAAGTCATGCAATGAAATGTCTTTTTGGCGCAGTGTCAGACTCGATGAATGTGATCAAACTGAACAGCTCACTAATGCTAGCAAAATCTTTTGAATTTGAAAAACTTCAAACAGCATTTCGAAATCTGATTGCACTGCAGCCGTCGATACTATTCATAGACAATCTAGAAGACGTGTCGAGTGACAAAATGGCAGGTGATAAACGTCTCGTGGGATGGCTAAAATCGATTCTCGATGAATTTCAAGCACTGCCAGAAACGCTAGAGCCCGTTATTTTAGTTGGCGCCACCAGTCGGCCGGAGTTGCTGGACAATTCTTTGCGAAGACCTGGTCGATTTGATATCGAAGTGGAGATGCCCATTCCCACTCCTGCAGACAGGAGGTTAATACTGGATGAAGCACTGAAAACGCTGGGGGTAAAGCACACTCTTGAGGAGAAGCAAATTGTACAGCTGGCCGACTCTGCTCATGGATTTACCGGCGCTGACTTGAAGCATCTCTGCCGTATGGCATTGCTCACATCTGACAACGAGCTTACTGGCGGTGACGGTTACTCGCAGACATTAACATTCGCCAAACTGTCCGCCTCACTGCGCCTCACAAAGCCAAGTATTATGCGTGAGATCAGCCTGGAGAATCCCAAGGTCTTCTGGACGGACATCGGCGGACTGCATGCACTTCGACATCTGCTGGAGGAGACGGTGGTCTGGCCGGTGAAGCACCCTCAGGCGTTCACCCGAATGGGCATCGAGCCCCCTCGCGGCATTCTCATGTACGGCCCGCCGGGCTGCTGCAAAACGATGATTGGCAAAGCACTGGCCACTGAATCGGGACTCAACTTTTTCTCCATCAAAGGACCTGAGCTCTTCTCTAAGTGGGTGGGCGAATCTGAGCGAGCCATTCGAGAGATGTTTCGGAAAGCCCGCGCCGCCGCCCCTTCAATTTTATTCTTCGATGAAATAGACGCACTGGCCGCCGAACGAGGTCAGACACAGTCTGCCGTTGGCGACCGTGTTCTGGCGCAGTTGCTCACCGAAATTGACGGCGTGGAGAAGCTCAGTCAGGTGGCCATTATCGCCGCCACCAATCGGCCGGACATTGTGGACAAGGCGCTGCTGCGACCAGGTCGACTGGACTCGATGGTGTACGTGCCACTGCCTGACCTGCCCACCCGAAAGGAGATCTTTGAAATTCATGCAAAGCGAATGCCACTGCCCGTAGAAAATGAAACTGAACGAGGGCAGTTTATCAGCGAGCTGGCCGACAAGTCGCACGGCTATACGGGCGCTGAGGTGGCAGCCATCTGCCAGAAAGCGGGCCTCATCGCACTGGGTGAAAGCCTGCAGGCTGACACCGTCACTCGAGAGCACTTTCTGGAGGCGTTTGACCGTGTAAAGCCACGAATTGGCGAGGAAATGATTGCATTCTACGAGGAGTTTTCCAGTCGCGCCGAGGAGTTGAAGCGCAAAAAATAAAGCACTTTTCAGTGGTTTAGTAATGGCTCGCAAATCTCGCAAATGATTACCAGATTAATTGCACTGACCAGTNACAAATGATTACCAAATTAATTGCACTGACCAGTGTGAGTTGTCTGTTTTAGAGAGACGGACTCTGAGCGGACTAGCTGAGCGGAACACACACGTAAACTGGTTGCGCCCTCCAGCGCATTCGCTGACTGCGTGGTAATTAGTGCGCGAATTGGCACATCGCTGGCCACTGTTGCCCGGTGCCGGTTTGAGTAATCAGTGGAGAGAGAGAGAGAGAGAGAGAGAGAGCCGTCTGTACCGGCAGACAGGCTTCCGGCGCATCGTGATCAGACTGCGCCGTCGACTGTGTCGGGTGGACTGTCCGCCGCCAGTTGCTGTTGCTGGTGGTGCTCTTCTTCCCTCAGCGACCGGTTTGACTGCTGTCCGCAGCGACGGGCACCACTGCTGGCACTGCTGCATCCTCTCTCCATTCATTCATTCACCTGTGGACCTTTTGTTGTTGTTGTTGTTGTTCTTGCAGTTGCGAGCAGAACAACTGTGTGAATAACTGCAGTTAGCTGCTGACTGCCATCTTTTCCTCACACTGCAGTTCCCGTGCAGGATGATGAAGGGGTGATCAGGTAGTAGTAGTGGCAGTACATCTGCAGCCATCAACTTACTCCAGCGTCAGCAGCCCTGGTAGTGGAGCACCATGCCCCCTGGTGCAGGCACTCGGGTCTTGCAGCCGAGCCAGATTGTGGTCTTCAGTCACAACTGCTCGCCCCAGGCAAAGTTCTTCTGCTTCAAGATACCGCCGGTGTGCCCAACCTGTCAGGAGAGCATTGACAATCCACTGAGCATAGCGGAGACTGCCATACAGATGCGCACTCTGCCCTGTCCCTTGAAGTCAGCGGCCAGTGCCTCCTGTGCACTGGCCATTCGCCCCTCCAATGGCCACTTTCTCTTGTAAGTTCTTTCCCGACCTTCAGCACTGGACACGTCAGCACGAAAATCACTCATGTCCTCTTCTCTTTATGTTCAATTGCCAGTGATTACGAAAATGAATGTGATCTGCATATTTGTCTGATCACTTCGGATGGTCGCGTGGTGGAATACGACCAGAATGGCGCCCGAATGGCACCATCCTCCACTACCACCGCCGCCTCTGCCAGTTCTCGTGATCGCTGGAGCTCATGTCTGATTATAAAAATCTTCAACGAGCGACCATCCTGGCAAATGGCCAGTATGTGGGATGAAAAATTGGAGCAGTTTATTGGAGAATCAGACCGCTGGACGGCGGAAACTTACGATGCGCAAAACAACAACTGCTTCGACTTTGTTCTTGAGTTTCTCAGGTACAGGTTTTGATTTCACTTTACTATTCTTAATCGCAAATGTATCATTCTATTAGGTCATTAAATCTGGAGCACTTGCAATCATCGATCGGCAGCAAGACAGTCTTTTGTGAGAATTACATCGTTCCAAAAACTCGACTACTTGCCCGATACATATCTCTTTTCAGAAAAGTACAGGCAGAAAAGGTTGTTCGACTGTCATCACATGCCTCTAACTAATTGCTACGCTGTGTAAACTCCAAGGATCTTTCTTTACCACTTTCCCGTGATATAATTCAATTTAATCGCAAAGTTTTATTTGAATCAATAAATTATTTTGAAATGTTTAATCATGAAAATTGATGCAGCAGTCCAAGATGCATTTTCAAATTTTATTTGAAAATTCCGTTCACAGAAAACGGAATTGCGCAAGTTTTGAAAATGGGTAGAGCTGTCCTGTTCATAATAAAAGTGTTTTCACAAAAAGGCTTGCCATTTGGGGCAGCGCTGCCCAATTTGATGTTCCACAGCCTCATTGTGACTGAAAATCTGCACGCTAGCGATTTGTTTTGTTTTCTGCTTTCTCACTTTGCCGCTTTCAAAAGTGGCCAAATCCTGCAATAACATCTGCAAAACGTTGACCATTTTGTAGTTTCACCTCTACTAAAAACAGTATTCGCAATGGCCACAACTAATGGGAGTTTAGAGTTGGCCGGTGCTGCGTCAAAGACCCACGAAGGACGATCCAAAGCAAGCACATTTCAGCTAATAAACTTTGTTGAAAACGCTCAGTCAGCTACTTCTTCAGTTCAAGTAGCTGAAGTTGTTAAACAGGTAACAGTCCAAAATTGTCACGGGAGAGGTATTGTAATCTTTATTAACAATATTTTTCATTTTAAAAAGGCCATTGAATCACCTTCCATCTTTGTTTTTGGCGAACTCTTGGATGTTGACAATGTGAAAGCTCTGCGCGGTACTGCCGAAGAGCCGTACTTGACACTGCTGAACCTGTTTGCTTTTGGCACCTTTTCAGAATACCAGCAGCAGAAACTAGAGCAATCTGGTTCACTTCCCGATCTGAGTCCTTCGATGAGTACCAAGCTAAAACAGCTTTCTATTGTGTCATTGGCTCGCTCTCGCCGAAATATTCCGTATGAAGAGTTGCAACAAGAACTTGAAATTAATAATATTCGACAGCTTGAGGATTTAATCATTGAGCTCATTTATGCAAATGTCATCAAAGGTATGTAGACTCTACTGATGGATGTTAAAGTTTACCAAACTATTAATAATGTCCCGTTTTGTTTCCTTAGGTACGATTGATCAGCAGAATCGTCGTTTGGAAGTTGATCAAACTATTGGTCGTGATGTTCGCATAGAAGATTTCGATACCATCACCAGTGTTCTTGGGGATTGGTGCAACAACTGCGACAGCATTCTCACCAACCTCGAACAGCAAATGTCTGCTGCTAATCACTTCAAGGACGATGCAAAAGTTGCTAAAGCACTTTTCGAATCAAAAGTAGCTGCGGTTAAAAAGAACTCAAAAAACGTAAACGAGAATGAGGACATTGTAATGTCGGAACTCAGTTTTGGGCGCGAAGAACGTGTGGAGAAGATGAAAAGAAACGCATCATCAAAAGTTGGCAAAAGCTTTATCCACAAAAATCACCTAACCAAGAATTGGCGCAAAGATAATTAGTAATCAACACTCCGTCTTGGGTCACTGTTGCTTGGTTGTACATTTTTATTTTACTTTCAAATAAATAAGTGTATGAAAACAAAAAAAGATTTTTTAAACTAAAAAGGACACCCCTACTATCTTCGTACTTTTTTAACTTTGCCCGTTATAATGCCACCACCAAACTCGGAGCACCGGTCTTCTATGGCCACGTTCCTTCGCTTCAGTGAGGTGGTGTCTTTGATCTTATTGGCCCTCATCGGCCTTCGACCGCTGTGAAAGTTGGCGCCCAGCTCAGAGGGCGACTGGAGCAGGGCAAAGCTTTTGGCCAGGTGTCCCAGGTGCAGCTCTTTGAAGGGAAGACAGTAGGACATTTTGTGCGGGTACGAGGCGTAGGCTCGAAGGTGAGACAAGTACGCCTTGGCGGCCATCGAGTGGAGGCGCTCATCACCGACCACGGCCTCTTCAAAGAGATGCTAAACAGAGGAAGGAGGGATTAGATGGAGGGCTCAGAGTCAGTTGTGTTGATCGTACCTGAAGGTAGGCCAGTCGCTCCTGTTCAGTGTGCAGCTGTTTGTTGCCCTCAAAGAGTGCCACCTTGTTGAGAGTGTCCATGTACTGCTCCACCTTGACGGCGTCCATCTGCACGGACACGTGTCCCTGCAGGTGATGCACAAACTTGGTCTCACTCGGCAGCAGCACCAAAATGGAGCGGCCCTTGGAGCCGACGCGAGCCGTCCGACCGACCCGGTGCACGTAGTCCTCCACCAGCGGTGGCACGCTCATCTGCACCACCAGATCGACGTTCGGCAGGTCGAGACCGCNGCCGACGCGAGCCGTCCGACCGACCCGGTGCACGTAGTCCTCCACCAGCGGTGGCACGCTCATCTGCACCACCAGATCGACGTTCGGCAGGTCGAGACCGCGTGAGACCACGTCAGTGCAGAGAAGAATTCCATGCACAGAATTGTGGAACTTCTTGAAGGCGGCAGTTCGGTCATTCTGGCTCATGTTTCCGTGCAGCTGCAGTATCGTCAAATGGTTAGCTTCTTCCGCCCTCTCTTCTACTTGGTGCTTCTTCTTCTCCTTGTCTTCCTCAAAGTCGTCCTCAACGTCACTACTTTCAATGTCGACCTTGAATAGCTTGTTCAGCACTAACGAGAGAAGCACCGAGTAGTAGTCGACCACATCCTGACAGGACATGAAGACAATCACTTTGGTGGTACCAGCGTTGAAGGCTTTCAGCAGTAAACAGGACAACATGACTAGTCGCAGCTTTGGGGGAACAATCATGTAGCAGTTTTCGAGTGAATCAGGGAGGACAATTTGATCCATTCGCTGTTCACTCTCATCGCCGACGTCAATTATTTCCGGTGTCTTCAAGCTAAGACCGGCCAATTCTTTAACGCCCTG